GTTTCTGTTGCCATTGTAGTTCAGCGTGGTGCGGTATGTATTCCGGGTGTGCTTGGGGAACACGATGGTCGTGCTTTGGAAGTGTAGCGGCCTGTGCCGTGGCTCAAAGTGAACCTCTGACTTGTAGCTGCGCCACGTGCAGTTCTGAACGGACACCACCGTCTCGCTGAAGGATGTGGCGGTCGGGAGCTGGGCGCAGAACACCTGGTCACGGAAGTGTCTGTCTGAAGCGTACTTCACTGCAGAGTTGAACCTGACAGTGGTCAAAAGACAAGAATTCATCAGGCAAACATGATTTAACTAAGAATAAGAGGGTTCGCTCAAAGTCTGAGACCAACTTGGAAATCAGATTTTGAAAAAGTTGTGATGCAGAATAATGAGGAAATATCTCAGATTCTACACTATTGCTAGGTCACTAGTCAAATAAGTATATTTGGGACACTGGACATGTGACTTGTACAGATGGTCAGATGTTCTTCCATTGAAGCCTGAGATGGTCTTTCTCAAATCATGATGGAGAACATGATCATCAGACAATCTGGCATTCATTTGAATGTTTTGAATGTTTAATTTCACTTTTCAGCGAACTGAAACTGGTGGTCTCAGACATTTGTATCTAGCTGTAGTTGAAAAAAAAGTAGTTAATGGTGATATTTAACACTCACTTGATCTCTTTTTCTGGTTTGGGGTTAACCTCAATGCTCTCTCCATAGATCACAGGGTACATGCGTGACTTCGCATCTGGACCTTGAGAGTTCAGGAGCAAATATGGCAGCTACACAGGAAGACATTAAAGACACAGGAATTAGCCATCTAGCTAGCCATTAAAACAAATAATAACTGATGTTCAATACTGGCAAAATATTAGTAAATTTGACATTGACATACTTGTCAGTTTACTCATGCATGATGACAGCTAAACTGTATAATTGACCATTGGCCACAGCAACTTTCTTACGTCTCATGTCTCATATTATTTTGTGGTCTCTTCTTTTCACATAATTTAACCTCAAATCAATTTTTCAATCATTCAATCAATCACAAAATACACCCCTTAAGGTGACAGAAGAAATTGTTTGTCCTCTGAATCCGAACAATGTTTAGCATTTAACAAAACAACATTTTAGCAATATCAAATGTGCAACAATCCTACAATATTTATCCTACAATGCCTATTCGTGTTTTGGTGTCTGCAGTCAACACTGATGTGCTTTACAGTTTAAGTCTTTTTTTAGACAGTGTATTTTTTATTTTTTTTAACAGTCCAGCCATTTAAATGTTATATTGAAAATTAAATTATTTTATGAGCAGACTTAATACACAGTCTAATACACTTTCAAGCAGTGTTATTTTTATTGTTCTTATACTATAATAGTAATTATTAAGATTTTGAAATAGTTTTTATTTTTATATTTTTCATTTCAGTTTTAGTATTATTGTTGTGTGGTTTGTCATTTTAATTTTGTAAATATTATTACTTTTATATACTTTTATAATCAATATTTCTGTTTTTATACATTTTTATTTCTCTTTTAATAATTTTAGTGCTTCAACTTCATTATTTTCAAAGGCAATATTTCTACATTTTTAGTTTGTGTTTTCATCTAATAATTATATTGTATTTTATTTTATTTTTATTTCTTGTTTCTTTATAATAATGAAAACGTTTTTAATAGCTTTTGTTGCTTTAGTGTGTCTGCGTGCTGATATATAGCTATATTTGGCGCTCAGACAAATGGCGACTATGCAGCAGTGTGTGTGGAGCACCTGCTCCATTCATCAAACACACACACACACACACACACAC